TGACTCGCAAAATATTAATATCTAAAATGTATATTAAATGTTATTCCCTTACTGAGTTGATTAAACTCACTCTTAATTTTCATAATATTATTTCAAGTTCTTAGTTTCTGATAATAGATGGACTTTGTTGAATGTTCCTGCTTATTCAGTTTTGGTCGGTATGTCTTACTTGTTTTAGCTTTGATTCGATATCTTAAACGCACCATTATTACTTCTTTTTTTTTTAATTATGTTTGGATTTTGACAATGTAATGAGTATTATCTTTTGGTTTCATCAATTTTGAATAATATAATATTTTTAAAAATTACAAAATATTGAGTATTTTTGAATAACTTGTTCTTTTAATATACTTGTTTTAAGGTTTAGTGTAGATGAAGTATCCTTTTAACACTACTTTTATGTTGTTGGTCATGAACCCGGGATTCATGTCGTGACAAAGGTCGAGTGAAACCAGTTTTTTTACCAATATTTATAAAAACATTTTTTTCATCTAACTTTTCTTCCATTCAAACTTAAGATGGTAACATGATAAAATCTTTTAGAAAATCTTTTGATACTGATATAGAAGATTATCTAGAGTTTAGTGTTTAGTGACAGCATCTATAAAATAAGAAGAGCATGTTCAATGCTTAGTTAGATCGCAAAAAAGCCTAATTCCCTGCATGAATACTGTTCCTAATTGGTGGAAATTAATAAGAAAAGGATGAAGATCATCCATTTCTGTTTGTTTTTAGGTAAAGGGCTAGGAGCCTAAGACGTGTATTTGTTTATCTTTGGACGGCTTTATTTGTTATTATCCTCGACTGAGGTGAAAGGGAATGGTTTGCAGTTGGCCCCTTAGTAGTTCAATTTAGGGTTCTGCATTTGAAGTTTCGGAGACATGCATGGCATTGCATTTGTTCTCAAACCCATCAAAGTATTTTCATGTAACAACTTTTTAAAACCTGGACTGCATCGAAGGTAGGCTCGGATTTTAGCTGATCCGGACCAGTTTGAGTTGGAAAAAAAAAATTCTCTGTAAAAAATGAAAATTTAATTATCAATCGGTTAATTTTTTTATTAAAATAATATTATTTTAATTTATTTAAAAATAAATTTTTAAAAACTGACTTTTTTTGATTCATAACTCAAGTATTGTCATGGTATGACTCTAGATCATGTTTTATGAACTAATACTCCAAAAGTCCTAAAGAAAGTACTATAACTTTTCTTATATTACATGTTTTTTTGTTTATTTTTTTTGTGTTTTTTTCTTTTTTTCCTCACACTTTTTTTCCTTTTCTTCCTTTTTTTTCGAGTTTTACATTTTTTTTCTTTTTTTCTCAAGATTGTCTTTTTATATATTTTTTTTTTCAAAATTATCTTTTGTCAATTTTTTTTAATATTAAATTGGTTGAAAATTTAGTTTTGTAATTTTAAAAAAACATTATATATTATAATAATATTTCTCTACATGAAATTTTTTATGAATTTTTTTTAAATGATCTTTTTTTATTTTTATTTTTTTTATATTGAGGTAGTTAAGAATTTTGATTCATAAATTTAAAAAAAAAACACTATAATTTTTTAATATTTTTTTCTATATAATTTTTATTTTGATACATTATTTTTTCACATGTTTTTTTTATAATTATATTTGTAAAAAAAAAATAATTATAGTAAAAGGTGGGGTGCTTCTTTATAAGGTAAAGAGCTTATGGACATGCTCTGGGCCAAAACTGAAGTTGTTGTTCATTTCATTGTTCTGTTCCCATAATGAAGCCCATCGTAGCACTATAATGTTTTTTCATCAATCCATTCCTAGGCCAGTCCATACTAGGAGAATTAGCAAAGGTGACAAGAACATGATGTTCTAGATTATAAATCTTACCAAGATTTTGACATGCCATGAATCATAGTTTTTAAACCCGGTCTGGTGGCCGATCCGGTTCAATGCTTGGATTCCGGGTTTTGACCTGATCGGCCGGGTCAATTTCTATTTTAAAAAAAAATTCAAAACGATATCATTTTAGTAAAAAAAAAAAAAAAAGTCAACGGGTTGCAACCGGGTTTTGCAGGGTCGGCCGGATCACGCCGGGTCATGACTCACCTTATTTTTTCATCAACCCGGCCCGGTTCCAGCCCCGGATCGGACAGGTTCCAGGTCAACCCGTCGAGCCGGGCCAGGTTTTAAAACTATAGCTATGATACGTGCTATCATTAATTTAGTATTAAAGTTTAAGGTGAGTTGGTATTCCTCTTTTACTAACATTTTTTGAGTTAATTTATATATTTTAATTAATTTTATATATTTTAAAATCAATAATTATATAAATATTTAATTACTTGAAGATTTATAAAATTTAAATCGATGATTTTTAGAAAATGATTATTAATTTTGATTTTACGACAAGAGGCTCAGCAACATGTAATATTAACAAGTTTTGGCTGTGTAAATCCCATGTTTTCTAACAGTAAACAGGAATCTATGCTTTCATATGTTGGCGTTGCATTTTCTAGGACACTACAGGTATACAACATATAGATGTTGAACATCAAAAAGATTTCATGTGATAAACAAAGAACAGAGAACAAAAGCATAGAGCATATGTCGAGAGTCGGAATAAACACAGGCTTGAGCAAGTAGGGTTGCTGGTGGATGGCAACTGGCAAGGTGGAATGTATGTGGTTTAAAATGGTTTTTTATGAAAATTTTGAAAAAGTTCTCAAATTAATTTTTTTTATTTTTAAATTATTTTAATATACTAATATTAAAAATATATTTTAAAAAAAATAAACTACTACTGGACTCTCGAGCAGCTCCAAAATACACTGTTACTTTCTTTTTTTTTATTCATCAGAAGGTAATTGTAGCTTTTGGACTGAAGGGAGTAGCTCTTCCAGGTTACAAAATTTATAATAAATAAATTATAATCAATTGGACTAGAATTTATTTAATAGAAGCAAGTCATCCATGCATGACTGTTAAACTATATGTCCACTTGTATAAAAAAAAAAAAAAAAAACTTGGGTTTAAGAAAAACAAATAAAAATGCATGTCAGCCCCGCGCTGTCTTACCTGCCTGTTGGGTTTGCCGGATGTTCAGTAGGCCGTGGGGATTAGTCGTGGTGCGCGCAAGCTAACCCGGACATCCCACGTTAATCAAAAAAAAAAACAAAAAAAAATTATAATAAATAAATTATAATCAATTGGACAAGAATTTATTTAATAGAAGCAAGCCATCCATGCATGACTGTTAATCTATATGTCCACTTGTATAAAAAAAAAAAAAAACTTTGGTGTAAGAAAAACCACATAATAATTAATATATGTGACACACATAGTGCAATAATTTTTTTTTCTGGTCACTCTATCAAATGCCTTGGTATCAGGTGCTAGAAGCAACTTGCAAGAACTCATCAAGCAGGGAGGGGCCTTTATTCTGTTGGGTTTGTGGTCTCCTTGTTATTTTTTAATGCACTGTTCATTTATCAACCTTTCATTGGACCTTTTTCTAGGTCATGACAAATTTTTAAATAGGTCCCTTGTTTTTTTACATGTGAACGCTAGACCCCTTCATTCTTTATGTAATCAATGTAAATTGTTATTAACTAAGTAGCATTTGGGAATATGGTTGAGATTGTGTTTCTTAATGTTTAATAGTTTTTAATATTTAATTTTTTTATTTTTTTGAAATTTTTAATTTTTTAGATAATTTTAATGTGTTGGTATTAAAAATAATTTTTTAAAAAATAAAAATTATTTTATCAAAAAATACTTTAAAAATAATTATTACCACACTTTCAAACACTCTTAAACCAAGCGTGATTTAGCTTCTTTTATGGCAGAATATATAGAGATATAAGGTAGTGTTTATTATTATGGTATTAGTTGTGTTTTTTTAAAAAACATTACTTGAAAATATATTAAAATAATACTTTTTTTATTTTTTAAAATTAATCTTTAATATCGGTACATCAAAATAATTCAAAAACACCCAAAATTTTTTTAAAAAAAAATATAATTTTAAAAAAAACTAATAGCAAAGACAATAAATTGTTTTCTTTCTTTTTTATTTTTCAATTGTTTTACTTCAAACTAATCAAATAGTGCAACAAGTGTGTGTGTGTGTGTGTTAAGTCAGGCAATGATGCTCTCTAATCCGAAGGTGCACATTAATGGCAAGCAAAGGTTATATACATTGTTACTATATTGGGTGGGACATATGTTTTTTACTGTGTGTTTGAAAGCGAAGAAATTCATTATAAAATTATTTTTAAAATATATTTATTTTTATATCCATTTCCAATCAAACATCTTTTTTCATACATATACATGTATTTTGAAATATTAACTAAACATGATTTTAGTGATTATTGGGAGTTTTTTTCCAAATACCAAACATTAGATCATTATAAGAAATAAAAAAATCTTATGAATTACCAAAACATTAGGAAACAACTTTTTTGTCAATATACACAAAAATATGTGAGATTACTACTATAACAATTAAAAATAAAAATATAATTATAAAAACTAAAAAAATAAAAGCAATCTTTATCGGAGTTGAGGTCTAATTATTAAATCTCATACAATGTAATGGATCAATCGACTCAAGCATTACTTAAATTATTTAAATATGATTTAATTATAAATTTAGGAATTGATTCAATAAAAATTTTAAAAACTGATTAATAATTTTAGTTATCTTGAAATTTTATTTTTCAAAAAATAGATTCATCCATATTAAGTTGTTTGACATGTGACACAAGTTTTGTCTTGAATTAATTATTAAATTGGGTTTTAAAACCATGTAATCTTGTAATTAATTTGCATAAAAATAGTTAACACTTTTTCTTCATTCAAGAGCAACCTGTTTTCTTTCTAAAAAATATTAAATATAGTAATTTACTAAATCAAAACCAAATTCTGTTAGTTAAAAACATTTGAATGGTCCAAAGTAAATATCCTCAGAAATTCACAAAATACCAAAAAGCCTATAAATGACAAAACCATAGAAAAAAACTCAAAAATCTTTGAATAGGAAGACCCTTCCTAAGACGACAGTCTTCCCCAACACAAAAACCTAACCTCAACTCCGCCAAACCACCTTGAAAATCCATACTATCCATGTACCTGTATATATAACAACTAAGCACAAGAGATTTTGCAGAGAGAAAGAGGAGAGAGAGAGAGAGAGACTCACCAACCCCTCTTCTCTCTCTCTCTAATAACATTTTAACAAAAATCTTTGCTCGAAGTTCCTACCCTTTTTTTTCCCTTCTCTTGTTTTCCCCGCTACTTCTCCCTCGCGGATTTTTTTTTTTGTTTTTTTTTTTGCAATTCTACCTCATACCCGGCTTTCAAAAATGGATTTTTTAGGTTCCCATTCGCTCAAATTCCAATCTTGTCATGTCTAAAACATCTGGTTTGGGATTTTGGGTATTCATTAAAGCATAGGACGTTGTTAAAAGGTTTTGATTCATGGGCAGGGGTGGAAACCAGTTGTTTGATGATAGTAGAGATGTGTTTCTCTCGGTTGCCTGTTTGGGGTCTCAATGGGGTAACGTTCAGGATGTGCAGTATCTCCCTAAAGGAGGTCTTTTTGCTAGTGTTAATCTAATGGGTATGGGGGACAACAGCAACTTAAAGTCTTTGTACAATGATTTGTATGTTAAGTACTTGTCCTTTGTTGGTTTTCAGGAGGAGGGGGTTTTGAAGAAAAAGAAAGGTGGGCTTAAGTTGAAGATTAAGGTTAAAAATCCTTCGTTAAGAAGGCTGATTAGTGGAGGGATTGCTGGTGCTATTTCAAGGACTGCAGTGGCTCCTTTGGAGACTATTAGAACTCATTTGATGGTGGGGAGTAGCGGACATAGTACAACCGAGGTTTTTAAAAATATAATGCAGACTGATGGATGGAAAGGGTTGTTCAGAGGCAATTTGGTTAATGTGATTCGTGTTGCACCTAGCAAGGCCATTGAGGTATCTTTTGCTTATGATTTACTCAATGTAAAAGAGATGTTATCGTGGTTAAAGTCATTGTTTGGTGTGAGTTTTTTTGGGTTACTTGATTGGTTTTGTTATTGTTGGATGTTTTGTGTATTGCCCGATTCGCGCGTTGCAGTCTTGTATCTGAGGATCTGAAGGAAGCTGTGTGCTTACTGTAGGCATTTATTGTTCTTCTCTTTTTGAAGAATTACTGTGAAAATTCCTCGCTTCTGTTTTCTTGATGTCATCCTTTTTGTTTGCTTCTAGTTCATTGATGGTTTATATGTTTTTCTGAGTGTCAACATCGATTATTACTTCACGGAACAGCTTCGATTGCATGCTTTAGTATGGTTGCAAACTGCCTGGCTATTGATAACTTTTTGGTTCAGCTCTGTAATGTTTTGATGATGTTATATAGTTGAACCATGAATGTCCATGATCGTTGCTTATTAGCTACCTTATTTGTTTATTGCAGTGAATTTAGAATTCTGGTTTCTTAAAGTTCAATTGAAATGCGAAGTCTTAACACGTGTGAGATTGAAAAGACTAATCTGGAATCAAAACTAATTTTGAAATTAGACACAAACATTCAACAAGAATCTGTAAACAATCAGTTTGATGCGTATAAATAGTCAAAATGGCGGTTCTGTTCTTATAAGACAATAATTTACCTTGCATTATTCAATTATTCCTAACTCCTAGGTTGTGCACTATTGGATTGGTTTTGGTCTTGTCGCTGCTAGCTTGTATGCCAATTTCTCATACAGGTTCTTAAATTATTTTATCTGGTTTTGATTGTTCATTCTGCCTTCAGCCTTTCTTTTTTTTTGGCTTATTTTTATTGTTTTGTTTTGCTCGAAAGAGGTTGCGTCTAATTTTTTATGAGTTCTTAAGTGCATTATAAATCTTTAATAGCCATCAACTAGAGCTCATACATTATGATGAGGGTAAAATTGATCAGAAGAGTATAGGCTAGTTAGTGGTGCCCAATTTGACTACCTCTTTTGATTGATGGCTTCAACTTTGCCCATAAGAAAATAAATAATTCCAGGCAAGCTAATCTCTGTTTCAGTTAAGTAGATATCTTCCACCCTATTGTTACATCTTTTGAGCAACTGCAAAAAATTTAGGATACTAATACAGAGGGTGAGCTAGCTTCCAGCATGTACTTGCCTGGCATATTCTCGTTGTTTGGATTGCATCTCACCTGGTAAACAAAGATTGAGACTTCCATTTATCACGATTAAATTGATTTGTCAAATTAACTTCCATCTGTTTTCAACAATGGGCTTTAAAGAAGTGGCTGCTAGATGTTAGTCCTACGTGGATTGTAATGAGACTGGAGATTGGCAGGTGTCTACCTGTAGGTTGGTAGAGCTTCTGGAGATTGGCAGGTGTCTACCTGTAGGTTGGTAGAGCTTCTGGATACTCATAGTTTGGCTGTAGCTGACCATGATAATTCTGAACTTCTGCAAATAAATCTTCTTTAATTGATTGGAAAGGTAACCAATTAAATATTTGAACTTCAGCGGTCTAAATTAAAAGCTTACCTATCCATGCAGTTGTCTGTCCTTGTCTTTTCTTTATGTAGAGAGTGAGAGAGTGAGAAGGGTATTGTGTAGCCATGGAGTGTAGAACCTTCACTGTACTAATTAACAATGCCTTTTATAGTCTCCTCTGCCCTCATTTATTTCTAATTAGAGAGGAATAATTAAGCTCTGCAACTTCTGCATATTTTAAGTAACATTCCAGTTCCAGGTACATAATCTTACAGGTAACTGGCTTCTGTGTCTGCAGCTTTTTGCATATGATACGGTAAACAAGAAGTTGTCACCTGCACCGGGGGAGCAGCCCAAGCTTCCAATTCCTGCATCTTTAATTGCTGGTGCATGTGCTGGAGTGAGCTCTACTTTGTGCATGTATCCGCTTGAGTTAGTCAAGACTCGATTAACTATACAGGTATGTGCAAAACCTAAAACAAAAACTGAAATCTTGGGTGCTGATGCTGTTCAGTTTCTCATGGCGTCTGATGCATTCTGCAGAGAGATGTTTATAATGGTATAGTACATGCATTCTTAAAAATACTGCATGAAGAGGGCCCTGGAGAACTCTACAGAGGTCTTGCTCCCAGCCTCATTGGAGTTATTCCATATGCTGCTACAAATTACTTTGCCTACGACACATTACGGAAAGCCTATCGAGAATATTTTAAGCAAGAGAAGATTGGCAACATTGAAACTCTTCTAATCGGATCTGCTGCTGGTGCCATATCAAGTAGTGCAACTTTCCCGCTTGAAGTTGCTCGCAAGCACATGCAGGTAGGAGCTCTCAGCGGAAGACAAGTATACAAGAATGTGATCCATGCCCTAGCTTGCATACTGGAACGAGAAGGTATCCAGGGGTTATATAAAGGGCTGGGACCCAGTTGCATGAAGTTGGTTCCTGCTGCTGGGATATCTTTCATGTGCTATGAAGCATGCAAAAGGATACTTGTAGAGGATGATGAAAAAACATGAAAGGAGCACGAGCCTCAGTGTTTCTGTCTTAAGCAGAAGGAAAATTTGAGGTTTTAGTAATTTTTATCCATACCAAGTTAACATATCTTGGGTTTTTGTCCCTGTTGATTTTATTTTAGGAAACGGTCCAATAAACTTGTTTGCCAGGTTAGAAAACATACATCGCTTTTGTTTTCCTGGTTTTATTGAATTGATCGGACATTTACATTTAAAAAAATGTTAGTGAACTTGAAAATTATTCGATTGCTACCTCTGAAATCGTGGTCGATTAACCTAGTTCCACCTCTTTCTACAACTGAAACACGATTTCGAGCTAGGAATTGGGTAACGTGCTTTGAGAAACGAGATTAGCATAGTGAATTGTTGTTTTAAGACGAACTGTGAATTGCGGCCTATCTTCAAGTTCTCAGTTGAGATTCTCATACCCTTCTGGCCCGTTAGTTGAATGAATGGCAGCGAACATTCCGTGAGCGACTCGTGAGAATGCTCCATCGGCGATATAAGAACTTGGAAACAATTTTGAATTTTGAATTTGGTAAGGCATTGTTTTGTACAACATCTCCTAAGAGAAATATCATCACAGCAACTAAACATTGATAGTTCGAATCTAAGATAGGCGGGTGACATGTCCATAATAAACGAACTCAAGAGAACAAGCTAAATTGTAAATTCATCATTTCAAGCTCAGCTCTGCTCCTCTGCATCTGCTGCTTCCTCTGCAGCAGCGGCAGCCATCAACTCATCAAACTTCTCTGTCTTGCCTAGCAATATTTCAATCTGAAAGAAAACGAATCCAGATTGTCAGGTCCTTCACTCACTCTTGAAAAAGAAATAAATCCAAAAAATTACTAATTATTGACAAAAAAGAGTGAAGAGGAGCTAGCTCAGACGGGTACAAATACTACGCGCGCACCCACAAGGACGATTCTGCAGAGGCCTCACATTATAGCTAGATTGGATAAATTTTAACCATAAGCTACATCTCTGGATTAATATGATCCCCAAATCCTAGGTTTCCCAAAGAAAGCAGTGCAGATAAAATTCCAAAGTTGGGGAAATCTTTATTTGGGAGAATTCCATCCGCTGCATGCCACCGCAAGTATATCCTAACAGCATGTCTGACAAATGTTGTCCAACACAAGGCAGTGTGATGATTTACCTTAGCTTTCGGAACAGGACGCCCTCCTGTTTCTTCCCTCATGTCAACTGTGGACGTCATGATCTCTAAGCATACACACAACACATAATAAGTGATCAGGCTCTCAGCATCAGCTTGAATCACAAAGGGAGACATAAGAAAGGAAGAGAAATCTCACTTTTCTCAACAGCAAGACCATTATTCTTCAAGATCTCAGCAATGGTAACAACAGTGGCTATAGCTGTACATGTAACATAAAAATCAAATTATATTCAAAACCTACAATAACAAGAAATATGGCGGCACCAAAATACTTTTCTTCAGTTTTCAGAAAAAAAAGAGGTCGTATGACTACATTGCACCGCACTTCCATCTTATGTTTTGTGATTAAATAGCGTGTATTTAAATCAGACTCCCAGCCAAGTTGTGCAAGAACTCCCCTGACTTACAATTAGCTAAATCAGCACTTGATAGGGAATGCAACACGGATAAATAATTTCAACAGGCAAGAAATGCATAAGTATAAGAGAACTAAATATATAAATAAATGAAATCAACAGGCGGATAAAGAGACAATACCCATCCCAAGGGCAGAGAGCTCCACTTCATTGTGCTGTTGCATGTACCTCTGCAAAAAATCAACCATTAAATAGCTAAATAACATAACAGTCCACAAATACAAATAATAACGTCACTAAAACCATCTCCCTTTCTCTAACAAGCCAAGGATTACAAACCCTCCACCAAATTCAGAAGATACAACCATGTTTTAATTAACTTCAATAAGATACACAAACTTCCATTTTTCATTTGTTTTCTCATCCACAGTTCTCCCAGCATCCAAACAGAGCCCATAAAAAGAAAAGAACAGAAAAACCCTAAACAGAAAAGGTCAAGAAAAACGAATAAAACAGGATAATAGCAACAAATCCCTTAAATTTTAAAACCCTAAATAGATCGTTAAACCCGTATAAGAGACAAAAATCTAGCTTATCCAAAAAAAAAATGAGAAGAGAAGTGAAACATTAAGGGGGGTTTGCATTTGGATGCTTTAAGTTACCTTGGCGAGATTAACGTAGAAGAAAAGAGGTTTTTTGGTGTTAGAAACTTGGATTCGGTTCTTCTTGTTATTGCCTGAATCTGCTGCTACTGTGATGTTTAAGTTGGTAACACCCTCTGTGATTCCTTCCATTGCTGACTGCTTTACTTCTTTTCTTTCTTTCTTTCTTTCTTTCCTTTTAGACAGGGAAAAACACTACTTTCCAATCTCCTCCACTCTCTCTCTTTCTAGCTAGCTATCTCTTGCCTGCTTTCTTTCTAAATGAAGGCGCGAGAGAGGGTGAGAGGGATTCTATGTTATAAATACTCAAAACCCTTAACCCACGCATCTCCTCCTCCTGCTACCCTGCTTTTTACTAGGGGTTTGCTGGCCGATTTTGTTTTTTAGATACGGTGTCGTTTCCAAGCCCAGCCCACTCATCCTTAATTGGGCTTCTTTTTTCACCTTTTTTTTGAAAAAAATTGAACTAGGTTGATTTAGTATTATTTTTATTAAAATAATATTATTTTATTTTTTAAAATAAAATTTAAATTTAATCTGGTCAATAAAGTTATATTGGTATGGTGTTTTTTTTATATATTTAACTTTACATATAACTCAGTTAAATTATAAATCATGAATTTTTAAATTAACTCGTTTAATCCGATCAGGGGTTAATAAAATAAAACATCATTATTCTCAAAATGGTGTAGGGGATAACATAGTTATTTTGCGAGAGCTGGGTCCTAATGTAAATATCATTTTAATTATTATAGTATGTTAAAACAATCCCCAGTGTGTTTATTTTTAATTTAAAAATATATTAAAAAATTATTTTTAAAAAAATTTATTTTTAACATAATATATCAAATCAGTTTAAAATTTTTTTAAAATAAATTTAACAATTTAAACTTTTAAAGAACACGCTTTTACCATCTTTCCAGAAGATCAGTAAGTGACAGATCAACGCAATTTGAAAATATAACGCAACCTGCAGCAGAACAAAAATCGAGGGCCAATTTGCAACGACAAAGATCTGTAATATATTGAAACTCGATGATAACCATTCGTACACTTTAGAAAGAATTCTTAAGCCAAGTACTTCTAGACAATGGATGAATGTTTCTATAAACTTTTACCAAAAAAATAAAGCATCACAAAACTGCACAACAATGGCATGAACAAACGTAAAAAGTCCAGCAACATCTGCTCATGTAGGGATGGATAGAAACACCATGAGGTAGTGACGACAACAAGGATGATACTATAAAAGGGTTTTTCTTCTAACGTGTCCCTCTCCTTCAGTGCCTCCCAGAAGTACATCTCTTTAAGGTTAACCCCTTCTACATAAATTAATTGATATTGTCCAGTGCCTCGGTTTCTTGTTATATACACGAGGGTAGGCTTCAAGGAGAGATGGCATTTGTCTCAGGAAACAATCTAGCAATTGATGCCACATTGACCGTCTGCGGCGGTTTGTGTGGTGCCTGAGGTGAAGGGGTCGATGCGCACCCATAGCAAGGAGAAAATGGAAGCAAGGAGTATAGACCAGACAATGACAATTGTTGGTGTACGATTTTGTCGACCCAACAAACCCTTGAGGAAAGGATACAAATGGGCAATGACCCAAATAGCAAAGAACAGCTTGCCAAAGAGTGGACCCCATGACTGGTATCCGCTGTTTATGGCGAAGGACACACCAGCCACAATACCCATCATGTTCAGTAAAATGACAGTGGTTGGAGGGATGAGAAGAGATGTCCATTTGAACACATAAAGCTCTGCAAAATCCCCATCCTCGTCAGATGCTTTTGAAGTGACAGTGAAGTTGGTATCGATACCTGCAAGCACTTTCAAAAGCCCTTGGAAGACAGCAAAGAGATGAGCTGAGGTGCCACCGATCACCCAGAATTGTTCGTTCCTCCACCAGTCTTCAATACCAACTCCACTCCATCTAAGCTCAAGTATTCCAGTAGCAAAGATGGAGATGAAAAGGAGAATGAACCACATGCCAGCGTAGTTACTTATCTGAAAAGAAATCGTAGCAGAATCATTGATTTGTTAATTGAGATCTAAATCATATGATCAACTGGTACCAAACAAAATGGAAACATCACTTACCTCAGGAATAATAAATTTTCCAGTGACTAGGCAAATGGCCGGAAGTATACAGTAAGCGAGCAGTGGAAGAGATGTTAGTGGGTAAACGATGGTATTAATGTATGCTAGCCTCTCCAAGAGCTTTAGTCTTCCACTGTATCCATACCATATGGGGCAATGCCTGCTCAGCAAAATCTCAATAGATCCCAAGGCCCACCGCAGAACCTGGTTCAAACGATCAGAAAGATTGATAGGAGCAGACCCCTTAAATGCTGGGCGAGGAGGCATGCAATAGATTGATATCCAGCCACGAGCATGCATCTTGAACCCGGTCAAAATATCTTCAGTAACAGAACCATAGATCCATCCAATCTGGCAGCAAATGAAAAGGATTAGCCAAGGTATAAATTAAACATGATCAGACTAAAGTATTGCTACTCAGTACAAAGCTAGACTGACCTCTTTGCCCCATTCAGTTTTGTCTTCATATCCACAGCTAATAACATGGATAGCTTCTTTCAAAAGAGTTGCAGGGTTGGTTGATGGTGGGATGCCTCCCTGTTCCTGGAAGGTAGCTGCAATAAAAACTGGTGACTGACCAAAACGCTTTTCTAAACTCTTCTGCGACATAAGAAGCGACCTCTCATCATCATATCCTGAAAAGAGAAGGAATGCAGTTAGAAGATGCCACATTAACTTTCTCTGATCGTTTGTAGATTCCACCACAGCATTTTATCAAAATCATGATAAATCTCAAACTGAGTGTTCTGTAGTTTATCATTGCTAATAACTTTGGTATTGGAAAATGAAAGCTTTGATACTGTAAATAATATATATATATATATAACAAAGTTAAAAGTAATCAAAACAATAGTGACCATGCATATATAAGGACCAGCATGCTCCATCATAAACCAAATTACAGAGATGCAGGGCCAGTAAAAGGCTTCGATTGAAAAGGACAGGTGACAG